AGCAGAGTGCATCGCCAACATTCCCAGCCCTGAGCTTAAAGAAGAAAACAAAACAAAAACAAACAAAAGCAGCATCCCCAAGTCTGAAAAAGCCTGGTAACACATTCCGCAGCACATACTGGACAATGTACAGGACAGTAGTGAACTGCCCCAGCCCCTCAACCCATTCCTTCACTCGTTCAACTGTGCTGGACCCTTCCACAGAAAGGACTTGAATTGGGTTATACCTCTGGCTAATGCCAATCTTTGCAGGCTCCACGTTCAACTGGGGGTCCCCTGTATGAAAAATGATCTCCAAAACCTGATGGGGAAATCAGTGTCTTAGGAGAGCTCAGTTGCCAAATCTCCAAGGCCTTAGCATGCTCGGTGTTTGAACTGCATTTAGTGAGGAGAGACAATGACTGAGGCAAATAAAGGGGAGTATTCTTGGAAGAATCAGAAAGTGTCATGTAGGGAGTATCGGAGAACAGGACATGAAAGATGAGAAGAGGGAGAGCCATCAGGAGGAGGATCTGCATCTGATGTTGTCTATTTCCAGACTCCCCATCATAGACCCTGGTTATATGAGTCTACCTCTCAAGGCAGAAACTCTGGAGATGTCCCCCAGGCATCAGGATGCTCACACACCAAATTAATCCAGAGAACGCTGAAGACAAGGACTGTTCTGGGTTACTTGAATATAGATATAGATATATAGATATATATCTCAGGTTTCTTTTGAGGGGCTAACGGGAGGTAAATTCAATTAATTAAACAAAAAGAGAGATGGTCATGTGTGATAGAGGGGGGGAAAAGATCGAAACTAGGGAGTTGAAGATATTTGTTCCGTTGCAGATACAATCTTGAAAGGTGCCTTCTCTAAGCACACCCTACTCGGCCTACACGAAGAAATTGTTACAGAAACATAGGGGAAGTGTAAAATTTTGACATTCTGAGAATCGAAGGCCACATAGCTAGATTCCAGTGTGATGAAAATAATACATTGAGCGTGTTGTAGAAGAGCAGGAAATTCTAGAAGTAATCAAGAGTCCGAACCAAGCAATGTGAAGGACAAAGAAGGGTGGAGCGAGGTGAGGACTGGGCCTGCAGGTCTACACATCCCCTGAAACGAGAGCAGTAAAGTGAGATTGCAAGGCATTTCCTCTGGAAGCCTGGGGGTCTCAGCAGCAAATCATGTTTGTTGTGAGGCAAGGTGAATGAGTCAAGGACATCCTGGGATTAGATCAGCATTTGGGGCGTTTAGAGGCAGAGGGGAGAAGGGAGGAGCAGAGGAGAGAAGAGAGAGCAGATTTTAAAGTAAATGTCCACATTTGGAAACCGAGGTTGAGAAGTCAAAGAGAAGGTGAGGAGGTAAGTATCCAAGGAGGTTGGGGGAAAAGCTGGGTACTGATGCCGCGTGGGGATCAGAGGGGCGGACGGTGGGAAGAGGGCAGGACTAGCAGGCAACGCTGGTATGCGCTAAGCAAAGGAAGAAAGGTGAATTGCCCCTGGATGAAATCACCTATGGCTTTTAAGACATTGTCTTCTCCAGAGTCAAGTGGAAGCAAATGAACCGTGGTTGCTTGGAATCTGTTTTGATGAATTTCCTAATAAAGCGTCTCACAACTCAACACTGCTTAGCAAACAGGTGTGTGAACAAAAGGCTAGAGCATTGGAATTTGTGGTTTGATGCTTACTACCAGAAAGTATCAAAGCTAGAGCCAGAGGGTCAGTTACCAGGACTAGTGTTGTTCAAAATTAATAGTAAGCAGTCAATTTTTGCTGTTATTGTTATATCTGTGGAGTTTAAGAGTCTAAGAATTCTACTCTTAGGAAACCCCTAAACCTCCTTGAATAGTGTTTGTTCACAGTTACCCTTTTAACCAAAAGTACCTCACATTGTCATAAAAGGGGTGTTGTAGTTATTGATCTAGAAAGTTTGTTAACAATAGCATGTAAACTGCTGTCTACGAGTCTGGCTTGTAAGGTATAGACAGAAAAAGCGGCCCAACAAACACCAAGGCTTCCCAGGGAAAAGCCAAGGCCCGAATTCTCCTCTAGCTAATTGACCCTGGGCGGAAAGAGCAGGCCCAGCTCTCAAAGAAGAGTTCCATTTCCACAGGCTCCTTCACCCTCACTCCCAGGATGGAAGTGTGGCCTATGCCAGAGGACAGGAAAGTGTTTCCATTCCTTCTCTGGACAGACCTCCAGATGAGAGACCATTCCTCGTCCTGCACAGCTTTACCTGCAAAGCCTGGGTCAGAGGCAGCACAGGGCTCTTCCCTGTTGTATAATCCAGTGTAAACCAGACTGCATGGTAGGTAAGTCAGGGGAACTCAGTATGGAGCACACTTGCTGTCCCATTGCTCTAGGAAGTCTCAATTGGGCCTTACCATCAGTACAAGGGTCAAGGACAAGTCCCTTGTCACCATGCGGCTATATTAAGAAATAAGCATTTGGCAAACTGTCACTTATAACCTTAAATCTGACTGCAGCCTACCGTTAGCATCACACCATCTCATACGAGTCAGGCAAACTCAGTGTCCCAAAGAGCGCACTGAGGACTAATAAAACCCCCACACCACAAATGCAGAGTGGGAATGAGTAGGAATGCCACCAAGATGAGAAATCAAGGGTATCTCCAAGAGAAAATATAAACCTAACATTTTGCTTTCTAAGGCAAAGTTTGTTGATATAAGCAAAGTATTCAGGGGTCCTGTGTAATTTTCAGTGACGAGGTTCTGTGAAAATACACAGCAGATCATTGGATTGAAAAAAAAAATTAAGAAAAAAAAGAAAGAAAAGAAACATGCAAACTGCCAGGCAGTGATGGCGCACGCCTTTAATCCCAGCCCTCTGGAGGCAGAGGCAGGCGGATCTCCGTAAATTTGAGGACAGATTGGTCTACAGAGCGAGATCCAGTACATCTAAGGCTACACACACAGAAAATGTGTCTCAAAATAAATAAATAAATAAAATCAAAACAAAAAGAGAGAGAGAGAGAGACATGAAAATGAAAACTACCACTAAATGAGTTTGGTCCCAGTGTTATAAAAGTGGGTCCAGGAAAACAATTACATATTATATAGGATATATAACATATATACATAACACACAATAAATTTGCAGTCAAATATATTCTATACTCAGACTGTATGATATATCACTTAGCAGTCAGATGGTTAAAACATCATTTGAGAACATAAAGGGTTTGAGCCACTAACAAACAGCTTGACTTCAGAATCTAGAGGGGCTACGTTTGTGTATTGGCAGGGTGGGCTGAGGAAGGCGGTGCATATTCAGGGAGTTCCCCAAGGAGAAAGCTATCTTGACCCAGGCCTGTGAACAGCAGGAGACGAGTACCTTCTTCTAAAGACTGAAATTCTAATCGGAGAACTTACATTTTAAAGTTTCTTATAGTTCAAAAATAATAATACTGTGTTTTTAAAAATTTTTTACTTTAAATTTAAATTTTTAGATTTAACAATCCCTCTTCTAATTTCGATGACAAACAACCATTGTTGGAAGTCTGAAAAAGCTCAGGCCCCAAAGTGGAGTGGGGGATAATACTCATCCTAATCTCCCTCGAATTTAACTGGACTTAAGTGTTTCTAACGACTTGGCCTTGAAGGGGATGTAACGAATCTGGAAAGCACCAGCCTTGTGTTCTGTTTCATTCTCATCACCTTTCAATATTCCCAGAGAACAATCCACTCCCAGACGATCAAAGGGATAACGTGGGCTCCGCGGTTTTCATCAGGTTCCACAATTGCTCCATTATGTTGTTACTTTAAAAGCTTTTCTTTGGTAGTTCCTGAAGTGCCACCCAGGCCCTTTCCTCCAACATGTGCACACGTGCGCGCGCGCACACACACACACACACACACACACACACACACACTTATACACTTTCTTAAGCAACTGGAGGGAAAACAACAGCAAAAACCTAGCAGTCCCGGGAGGAAAGATGCTGAACTTTCTTACTTTGTTCTCCCCGAAAGTGTGCATTCACCGCCTCCTTCAGGAGCCACCCACTCTTTTTCATAACCTCAGTCTGCCCTACACTTCTAAAGCCCCTGTTAAAGCAGAGACAGGAATGAGATAGCTCTCTGTCTGTAAACCAAAAGTGTGCTCTTTTATTTATGCATCGCATCACATTCCACAGAAGTGTGCGCTATTGCACACGCATGTGTAAGAGGAGAGGTGTTGTATGCACAAAGAAAGTGATGCGTTCATCTCAAAATATATTAGGATAACTTAATTGATGTAATAAATACCCAGAAATTCTGGGTGTTTGCCAAACTAGTCTTTACCACTCCCCTGGTTTATTTGGGAGCAATGAGACATGTAAGTGCTTATGTGCCGGCCTGTTAGCATAATTGGCACTCCAAGAAAAGGTAGATTTCAAAGCGTGTCTTTGGAACTTTGGAGGGAACTGTTTCTAGAACCATTCCTGAGCTGGCAGGCAGGATAGGGAGTATATCTTGGAGAGATGTTTTTTTTCTGTCAGCAGGCCCAGGAGGGGCAGGCCGCCGCGCATGTACCACACCTAGAGAGGCAGCAGCTGGCAGTTGGCAAGCTCTGGGGCAACCTGAGAAGCGAGGTAGGAAAAAGCTGCCTGAAGGAGCACCCTTCCTTGTCTTTCTTGCCTGCTGGGCCAGACACACCCACCGAAGCTCCAGGTTTTACAAAGAGCAGGAATGCGTCCTCTCCCGCGCTTTGCATGCTCCAGCAGGTAACAGGAATGCGGTCCCCGTGCACTCCCCACAACACAAAAGCTGCTTTCCTTTCTCTCATCCGAACACACACTAACTGACCAAACTCGTCCCCCCCAAATTTCCCATGGTTGGTCTGCCTTCTAGAGCAAGTCCCTTTCGAAAAGCAGTCCTATTAGCAGACTCCAGGCAGCTTCTTTGCCTCCCGAACCCCCATGGACTACGGACGGCCAGGAAAGTGGCCTGGGGTTAGGCACACTTCACCAGAGACCCTTTGGAGAAATCCACGGGGTGCCTTGCACTTACTTTGGCTTGCAGACGTCCTTGCCGACTAGCAGGCTGTCTTTGTTGCACAGTGCGGGGCGAGGTTTCTGCAGCGGACTCCAGGTACTGCTGGCTGCTGCTCCTGCCTGGGCGGCTGCGCTCTCCCCCCCTTCTGGATGGATGACTCAGTGCTTCCTTTCTTCCCCTCTCTCCACTTTGGATTTTCTTATGCTCTGAGGCTTCCTTGGCGGGATTTTTGGACGGGAAGGCGGGGAACCTGATCCTGCCTTGACTCAATTACACCCTGCCAGGGAGGGAAATGGAGAATGGGAGGGTTAAAAGGAGCCGGCTGAGAGAAGGAGGCTGCGCGAGGGAGGGGGTGTGCTTTGCCCCCGAAATCTGATTGGGAAGCTTATGAAAAGCAGGCTACTCTGGGGGCAGTCTTCCCCCAAACGGATTTGCACGGAAAGACGAGGGGATATAAAACTGTTTGTTCTTAGCACACACCGCGCACGGTATTTGTTTCACAAACTCCCAAACACCATCGTTTTTTTTTTTTTTCCTCTCATGGGTCCATACCTCGGCTAATCGAGTCAGATACTGGAAAACTGATGGCATTTTAGACTACAGTTTTGATTCAACGCTTTTTTTTTTCCTCCCTTTTTTTAAACATGATATTCGAGGGTAGGGGGAGCTATGTGCAAATGCAGTTGCCTCTTGCTCTGCACCCCCCCCCCAAAGGCCTTCCCTGCAGGGAGTCCAGCTAACTTCAGCTGCCAGTTGCAGCCCACCTGCAGTCACAAACCTGCAAAGTACTTCTCCCGGGTTGTCACTGGGAGTGACAGATCTCTGAAAATTCCCAATTAAATGTCACTTTCCTTTAGGGGATTGTTCCTTTTTTTGGCTTCTTTGGTGCCTCCAGAGACCTACTCTGTGACACGCTTTTGGCAAAGAACATGGGGGAATAATCAGTGTGGCTCCAGCTCTGGGGTTTGTAATGCTCAGAGAGTGGACTTCCCAGCTTTCTGAGACCTTTGAACCAAGGAGAGGATAAAGCGACATCTGTGTTGAGTCTCACGTAGAAACTTGATGCAAAACGATGAAGGAGTAAAACTCAAACATACCCAAACATGTTCAGATTGTAAAATGGCCTCTGATCTCACCATTCTGACCTTACACCTCTTCGGCTCAATTAATCAGTAAGTCTCATGGATTCCCATGACCTTTGGAGCCCTCATTTCTCAGGACCACTCCATTCATGAGTTTTATGGCATGCTCTTTTAAGGACTAGGGTCTTCTGTTGACTGTTAGTTACTGTACTGATGTGGAAGTGTCATCTGGGAACTAGAGAGGTAAGCCTGCAGGAGTACAGCTTTTAGTACATTGGTCTCGTGTTTTTTCAAAGGAGGAAGCAGCCTACCTCCCTCAACAGACTATTCTCCAACTACCTTTCCATGTGCAAATCACCCAGGTCTCTCTCCAAACAACTCCAAGTGGCACATTTTCCTTCTCCAGCCTTCATTTTCACCACGGAGCAGTCAGTCTGCTTTCATATGGCTTTACCTGTATTTATAAACTACTCACAAGGTTTGTTTTGGCAGCCCCTTTGCTGTAAGAAATGCCTCAACACTTCTATAGTGATGGAGTTCGAAGAATATTCCAGAACTGCTGGCCTTCTCCTTATTGCCCTTAAGTTTATCTTTGCATTTAGCATATGCTGCTGTTAGTGAACCGTGCTGGATTAATTATTGTGATATTGATGGCATTGGTCAAGAAACCATAGAGATTCTCATGATGCCAACTCTATTTCAGTTGTCACTCCAATATATAACATTTTATTAAAGAGGTACATGTGAAAATTAGTTATATCTGTGGTTCTCAAAAGGGAGCAATGTTATCCTCTAGAAGACACTTGGTAATGTGTCTCCAAAATGTGACACAGTCCATCTAGTTAGTCTTCCAGTGAGTAGAGATCAAGAATGCTACTTAAACATCCTACAGGGCTGTCTCAACGGCCTAGTGACTACAGTGTTTTCTGGGCAGATATAGGACTGGAGTTTGAATCCCTAGAACCCACATAAAAGTGGCCAACTTGTAGCCTATAATCCTAGCACTTGGGAAGCAGAAACAGGGGCTTCTTGGAACAAAGAAATTAGCTACACTAACCAAATCAGTAAGATATAACTTACCATAAGATTCAGAAATGTAAAAGAGTATGTTGTTTTCCAGGAGCAGAAATCTATAAAAATGCAGTAAGTTCTATTTTAATTCAACCAGTAGTTTTACTGAAGCATAAGTAATACACTATTAACTGAGATACCCAACCTCAAATCCACATGTCATGGGAAGGTTGATGCCAGATTTCTAGTCATTTCACTCAGTTGACTGTCACTGGAGAGCCCTTATGTATTTTACTGGATAGAATTCTGAAGAAAAAAAATGTTAAAACATTGACACCTAGAAAGCTTATATGTTTGTTTTAACTGACAAATTAAAATGAGGAGAGGAAATGATGTGATTGGAGACATGAAAAAAACAAAAACAAAAAAAAAAACAAAACAAAACAAACAAAAAACCCCAAAACACAGATGTGGGGAGAAAACTTCGGAGTTCAGAGAGTGAAATTTGAGCAATGGCCTAAACAATGCTAAACATTGACATGTGAGCCCTGAAGAGAAGGGTATCCAAGCCGACCCAGCAGCAGGAAAAGTAGCACCATCTGAGCTGGCTGGGAACTTAGCAGGCTGGTAGAGGCTCAGTGGTAGGAACTCCCAGCTCATGTCAGCCTGTGACACTTGAGAGTGACAAACCCTGACTGGTTTCACAAGGTCCCTCAGCTGCCATGCAGACACCACAGGGAAACAAGGTAGACTGATCCCCAGTAGGAGGATCTGTAGTACTCACTGACTGAATGTCGCCCCAGCCCCCCATCCCAGCTCCCATTGCTATGAGAGTAACTGATTCCAAACGCTTTGCACACCAAAGCTCCTGTCAGCAGTTACAATCAGGGATTTCTCTGCCCGTTCAGCCTCTCCAGGTGAAATTAATGACCCCCAGCATGCATTCGTGTTGCCCGATAATATGTAATTAACGCAAGGTGATTTGAAATCAGGGAAACCGTAACATGGCCTACAGTTGTTTTGAAAATGAGCCCACTGATTCTTCTGCAACAAATACAAAGAGGTGGGTCACCAGCAGGGGCTTTGAAAACGTGGAGGAAACAGATGAAAAAATCTGGCAACACATCTCCTGCAGTCTACTTGGCAGGGTGTTTGGATTATTAGCCACCATTCTCCAGTTCGCCCCATCTCCCTGGAATGCAAACAGCAAGTCATCAAGCTATGGCAGCTTGAAGGCAATCCCCGTAGCACATAATCTAGCAAGCACGGTTAATTTCTTCCCAAATCCCGTCTCTGTTTTTTGATAGCATTGTCCATGTAGCTAGGTGACCAGGTAAGCAGGTTGTATGCATCTGACTTTTGCCTGTGACAAAATTAACTAAAGAAATTTAACTACATAATTAACTGGAATTAACTAATTAAGAACGATTTAACTTAAAAAAGGGAGGAAGAAGGAGAAGAAAAGAATAGATTTAGTCTATATTTAATATATTTAAGTCACACCAGTCCCTGCTGAGTTCATGGTCCTCTAGCCTGTCCTTCTTGATTAAAAACTGTGAACACAAGGTTCCAGATTGTCAAAGCAACATAGAAAAACAGGATGTCATCAGGGGCAACACTAAGACCTACAGAAAAAAAAAAATCAGGCCACAAATACCCAGACACTCTCTCTCTCTCTCTCTCTCTCTCTCTCTCTCTGGGTGTGTGTGTGTGTGTGTGTGATGTTCTTGTCACTGGGGTGTACATACATGTGAATGTGATGTGCTTTCCTATGACAGTCCACAGTCATTGCTGACATCTACCCTTGATCATGCCCAACCTTTAGTTTTAGAGGAAAGTGCTCTCACCAAACCTGACACTCACTTCAGTCATGCGTTCCTGCCCCACAGATTCACACACACACACATACACACACACACACACACACACACACACACACACACACGCACCGCGCTCACTCCCTGCGGGGGCTTTAGGAATAATCCATCACTCTCAGCTGCTATGTAGGGTCTGAGCGGTTCAAGCCAATGTCCTTGTGCACTGGATGAAGGCACTTCACCAAACGAGTCACCTCTCCATACCCCAGACCCCATGTTGTAAGACACCAAAACCCACAGTGCAACATCCCTCGTGAATGCAACAGCCAAAATAAATATCTATGTCAACAATTTATGAAGCATATAAAGATAAAAAAGTTCAATTTTATGTGACATTCAAATACAATTTGCCCTATTAAAAGATCAACAAGAGAATGAATAGATAACTATATACCAGGCAAACATATGGCAAAATTCGACACTCATTCAGTGTGAAAAGGCATAATAACTTTAGAATATAAACCAATACGCTTACATCGGTAAGCCACAGAAACCTTCCAACGAGTGCAATGTTAAGTAACAGTGAAAGTTGGGTACTTTCCATCTAAAATCGAGGTGAAAACCACTTTTAACTATTTTCTGGTACTGGTAACTCTAGCCAACGAAGCCTTATAAGGAACACACAGAATAAAACTGGGGGTGTGCATGGAGGTCTGTCGGCAGCACACAGAGAATCCAACCCCACTGAGTACCTTTAGTGGTGGCCATTCTCATCACCACGGCAAAGTACTGGGAAAGCAAGCATCTGAGCTGAGGGGTTTATCTGGCCCACAATTTGGGGGATGCTAGTCTGTCATGGCAGGGAAGGCAAGGCACAGCAGTCTGTGTCACCAGGGACATGAGACAATTGTCACCACATTTTATGGCAGGCAGAAAGCAGGAAAAGGTCAAGATGCAGCATTTTCTACTTACGCAGCCAGGCCCCAGAGGTCTCTCAAACAAACAAACAAACAAACAAAATAGCTATTGCCTTTACCCTGGGTTTCCCACCATGGCTGCACAGTAAAATACCATTGCTGAAGATATCACATACTCTGGCTACAGGACTTAAAGGAATCAGCCTCAAAACAGCCCCCACTGGCTAGCTTCCATAGTGCCTGAAGGTGCTATGCTAAAAGAGGAAACACACTAACATCTTACATAGTTTGGGCTCATACCTATGCCACATAAGCCTATCAGGCAAGTTATACCCACAGGTGCAGTAATAGAACTATTTCTGATTGGGTGGAGGCCTGATCCACAATAGGGAATTTCATGCCTGGTAACGTAAACCTAGTCAAGAGCCCGTGGCTTCAGAGGTCACAGACCCTAAGGTAGAACCTGCTGCAGTTCCTCTGCTTAACTGTTATGCTGTCAAA